CCAAAAAATAAAGTTTTGCACATTGAACACTTGCTGTTTTCAGACCCTAAAATTACTAATTTTAAATTACCTCCATCGTGAACTGATTTTTCTAACTCGTTGTCAGAAGCCAGTTCTTGATACAGGAGATCAGGGTTATCTCCTGATAAAAAAAAAAAAATTAATTTTTGATCCTAACGTATCAAAGAACAATATTATCACTGAAACTTCTCTTTTCTGTCATGAAATTTAAATCATTTTTAAAATAATCTAACAATATATATGTGTATATATAAAGAAAGAGTATTTAAACTAAACATATATATATATATATATAGATACATACATACATACATACATACATACATATATGTTTAGTTTAAATACTTTCTTTAAAATTTACCATATTCTTTCTAGTAACAGTAAATACCTTCACGTGCCCACTTCGGTAATGGACTGATAGCGCGATGTTGGGGTTTATTTGTGTTCAGATTAGGGCTGATGACACATAAATTGCTTGGCGATGGTTGATTTCTTAAAGGTTCACCAACTAGTATTTAAAGAAATATTTACAAATGTTCAAATTTTCCATTAAAATTAAAAAATCAAACAGGACTGTTATTTTGAGATATACATTATTTTAAAATGTAACATGAATCTCTTATGAAACACAATATTGTTTAAAACACTATTATTATCTTCTATGTGCCTATATTTCAGAAACTGATAAAAATAGGATTCTACTAATATCATATTATGATTGTCAATCATGCATAAGTCGTCTCCATGCAAATATATAGTACCTTTATCTGTGAAGTAATTATATCGACGGCTTGGCAATTGTTCGTCTGGAAGAAATATGTAATTAAAGACTTGTTATACGAAAAATTTATACTTCGTATAAAAAACCTATTATCATACTCATATTCTCTATAAAATTAGGATAAAATGATGATGGAATGGTGATGTAATGTACATTTTTTAACCACTTCTACATTATAGTTATTAAATACCTATTTCCATAGAAGTGTACATTCAATATATCACTTTTTATATAACATAAAAAATCAAGATTATGTTACAGAATTATTTTCTACACTTACCATCATTAAGATGTAATTGTGACACTTCTGGCGGAGGTATGACATCGGGTTGAACCGCAATAGCTTTACGTACATGCCCAACATTAGCCAACAGCTATAAAATAGAGAAAAATCAATCAATAACAGTGAGAAATTTTATATTATATGTTCTACTTACTGCTCGGTTGCTTTCTCTCCAATGAGAGATTGCATTACTATCATTTATATTAATTGCAACCAGCTTTGCATCTTGTACCATTGGCGCAACGCCTGCATAAAAATAATTAATGTACATAATAGATTGAATTCATCTGAATGTAGTTCAATATTCATTTTACTCACTATTTTGAAGTATATCCGTTGCATAGTTAACTCTCTGAATGAATGCAGGATCTTCACTATTGTCACTTTCCTGTTTAGCCACCAGAATCACTCGGTTAGCCAGTCTAGCGATGGCGGCTGTATTATCTACCATCTTTTGCGGATGACTCTTAGCAATAGCTTCTTCACAAAGGAATGAGTGCTTCTGTATTTGTTCTTCAGAAGTTCTAATAAAGTCACCGCTATCTGTGGCTTCGTCACATAATGCCCGCGCCCTTTGCATTGTTTCTGCGTACTGTTGTCTTAAATTTTCAAAATGTTCATCTGCAGCTTTACTGTTCGGATACGTCATTCGAATTCGTCCAGCGTTTATCAACTGAGGAGTCAACGATTCAACTTGTGATGCACTAGCAGTCAATGCTTCTGCTAACTTTTTGTTTCCACCGCTCCCTAATTATAATTCGTGGCATAATCCATTAGTGATTCTATACAATTGTGCCTAACGCAATGAATTTACTACAAAAATAATAATATTTTTACGTACCACCAGCAGCTACCATCCTGGCTGTCTTGGCCGCCCTATTAGAAAATGTTTGAAGAGCATGTGTTTTATCATTGAAGTTTTGATCACGTCCTGGTGTACCTTCTGGGGCTAGCACAGCATCCGTAAACTGTTTTAAGGGTGTAGTGATGTCAATAAAATCTTCAACCACTCTGGATACAACAGCCTGCTGTATTCTATTCTTCAATTCGTACAATTTGTGTGACAACTGACGAGCGATTTCTTGAGCCCGTGGTGTATTCCCTAGTCCATGAGCACAAAGATCTCCAAGTTGATGAGAAAGATTGTCAACCTCGTCGCACAATTGCAGAATCTCTGCTTTGTGTATACCCGGCAAACCTTCGGCAACCTATCGTTTAGAACATAAACCAACTGATAAACATAAGATAGTTTAGGAGATCAGCCACAATTTAATGTAAAGATACCAACAATATAATTAGATCAAGGTGCACTTTAGAATAAGTACTCGGTATGTTACACGTAACTTACGCTCGCTACGTGTTGCTGATTCTGACTCCGTTTGCGGCATTCAAATTATTAAAGTTATATGATAAGCCTCTGTATTAATAATAATACTGTACCTAGGTATAGGAGGATACCAGAGAATTTTGTCAGTTATACACTATGTCCTACCTTCTTTCCTTCATGTATGATCAGCGCTATAGCTCTCTGGCCAAGTCCTTTGTCATCGTTTTGAGGATTTAACAACCATTTGTTAGCTTGTTCTAAACGACCTGCGACCGTGTGAGCAGTCTGAGTAGTTCCAGATTTGTCAGCAGCCACTATAGCGGATGCGATAGAACTTCTAAGTTCGTTCACTTTTTCCTTAATACCGCGTGCTAAAGCCTCCGCTTGTGGTGTTGTTCCTTCAATAATGCAGTAGGATAAGTATATAATTAAACTGTTAATAGTTTCTTAAAAAAAAAAAAAAGAGTAGCACCTCTTTCATTCTGTCGCAACTCACAAAGAGCATTGGTCATAGTAACAATTTGTGAAGTTAATTTATTCAATGGTTCTGCTTGAGATGGAGGAAGATATCTGTCCGCCAAACGCTGTGCTTGTTCTACTATTTGACGAAGACTTTTCTCTCCAACTCCACCGCGTAAGGCAAGTCCATCATCTAACCAATCATATGCTGCTCTTATTCTGGATTCAATAGCGCTCTGTGCTTTTTTAAGAACCTAAAAATAAATAAACAGATTAATTATTTTATTTATTCATTGAATTATCTAAGTTTGAGTCACTGCTTACTGTTAACTGATCAGCATCCCACTCTTCTTCATCATAGGTCGTCAATTGTAATACTCTAATAATTTCGTTTAATTCATCAGACATTCTGCCAGATAAATAATTCCGATTTTCAGCTGCTTCTTCTGCTCCCTTACCTCCTTGAGATATAATATGAATAAAAATTTTCATAGAGCAAATAAGAATTGGTGCAAGAGTTTTCACCTGTTACAAAAATAGGTGATAGAGTATATAGTTACAATAATTATAATTATTAAATATTAGAGCCTGTCTAAACCAACCTGGTCCAAGCATCGAACAAGAATCTCTCTATGCACTTGATGAGTTAATTCTTTCTCACGAGCACTCACTTCTTTTGATACTTTACTAAGGCAGGGACTCAAATTTTTAAGAAAATGAACTAGATCTTCCATGGTTTCAATAACTTCGGTTACTGCTAAATAGTCTAGAACTCGTTTACATTCTCTGATAATTTTGCGAACTTCACTTTCATCAAAACAAAGCAACAGTGAACTGGTTCCTTGAAGAATACCACGCGAACCTTCGATAAGCTTTTTTCTAAAAAAAAAAAAAAGTATTAAAGGAATTATTTATCACTGCTAATAAGTACAAAGATATTGTTTTATATTTTTGACACCTAGCTGGTCCAGAATAAGGATCTTGTTTAAGCATAGCTGATGCTTCTTCCAGAAGACGTGAAGCACCTTCCACACGTTGCAATGCAGCAGGCATGTCTTGTTTAAGTAAAGCATCATCAGAAGAATTTATTGTTTCTTTGCCCACCTACATGTAATAGTTAATATAAATAAAAATGTTAAATAATTTTTGAATTTCTGTAGGAATATTTTTTTCATAAATTAGTTTACCTTTACAAGATTTGCCACTGCCATACTAACTGCTTGGACAGGTCTGCCCAAGTCAGGCATTGCATTTCCATCTTCAGCTTCTTCATGTAAAATAACGAGTCTAGAAACCTACATTATAAAATTATTAGTATATACAAAAAATAAATGTCATATGTCTCATTGAATTTTTATGTTTTTATTAAATAGTAATTTTAACTATATTTAATTATAAAATATTTTATAATAATGCAAGATTATGAATAATCTATTTTCTTTTTACTTATTAGGATTTCCTACAAGATAACAAAATATTTTAATTAAGGTAATAAATGTTGTTCTACTTATTATGTATTAACATTGAAATAAAGTCATTAACATGTTTAAAAGATGATTTAGCTTAAATGCATTTATATTTGTCAATGTGCAATGTGTGGGATGACATGATGATAGATAGCTTCAACTTGTCCTTTTTTGGAAATACTAAGCATTCTCAGGTGGTTAATATGTTTGTTTCAGCGATTTAGCTGGCAAAGGGATTGAGTTTCATATATCCAAGCTTTCAGACCTAAAGATGAATTTAGTATCCCTGCCCTATATTTGTAGAATGATGTCATAGTTCTATATAAAGAAACACAAGTCACTTGGCAATTTGAGTCATGGTAAATAGACCCACTCATAATTAATATTAATGTCAATGAAGTTAAATTACATTTTTAATGCATTTTTACTAAAAGTTATTTTTAATATGTATAGTTTGACAGGTTCGAAATGTATACAATCAAATTATTTATAGAACAGAAACCAACAAGAAATGTTTACTTTATGTTTTATATATATATATGTTTACTTTATGTTTTATATATATATATATACATCTTCAAGAACAAATAATTTGTTACAGAATAACTGTGATTTCTCATCAATTAAATTTTCACAAGATATTATTTTTCAACGTTCTGTATTTTCCTCTCTTAAAGATAGCGAAACAAATGACAGTTTCGGAACATCATTCGAAACATTATCGATACAATTGTTGTTAATCAATAAGATTAAAAGTTTTATTACCTGTTGTGCTACAGGTTCGAGAATACTTTCTATAGTTTTCGTGTGAAATACCGGCATCTTGATGTCTTTTCTCGAGAAAATGTAGAATTATTAACTATGTAATCGTATTCACAGAAAAAAAATTATACTGAAGGTACAACCGAGATTCTACGTCTAAACTCATCAACAATACATTGGATAATTTGGGAGCAATTCACTTTAAAAATAACAAGAAACAATACGAACAATGCGGCTTATGGGACAGCAAGAATGAAATGGTAGCTCGGTAGCTCCGTGATGGATCACGATCAAGAATCCTAATGATTGCTCTAGCCGAGAAAATCGTATCGATGCATCATGCATCATCGGTTGCACACAGACTTGGTAGCAGAATATCTAGGGAAAACAAGGTAGCCATAAATTTGTAAAGTTACCAGATAATTTAACAAAATTCCCTGTGGAACTCGCTTGTGATTTCGAAGTTTTCTACATTTGATTTTATGACGACTTCCTTGAGAGACGAGAAGACAAATTAAAATAAATGAATAACAGTTTACTGCAAGTGCTTGATCCAAACGTACATACCATGTATGTAGAGGAGTTGATTTTACATAATAACCTTGATTTATGTTAATGCGTCCAATAGTGGATCAGGAAAGGAATGCATGTTTTCTTCGGATCAATTCAAATCAACCGCCACTATTTAGAAATTATACATACATAGCGTTATTTTCTACGTCATCGAAATATGTATGTACGTACATATTTATTGTATACATGTGTAATCGTAGCATACGCATATGTTATGTATGAAACTTTCATACAGAACTATAAGTACATGTGTGTATTACATATTTCACTAAAGGACGAATATACATAATACATGTTTATAGATGTTAGCACATTTAATTTAATTTTTGTATTTATGTCTGTATTAAGAAACAGAATTATCTACGAGAAGGTAAAAAGTATTCACAGAGTGGTCAATCACAGACTGTACCTCATCTGTGGTTCAATATTTCTTTCTACATAATAGTAAATATGGAAACAGAGAGATTTCCTTTTTAGTGAATATAAAACACAGAAATTTTATTGTTTGTTAATAGAACTGACTCGTAGAGAAGAATAGATAGTACATATAATGGAACTTTCAAATAACCAAAAAGTTGATAACTCTTCAGCAAGTAAAACAAAGCAGTTAAATAAAGAATATCTGAGAGCTTCTTGTAACTGGCAAATCACTAATAACAAAACGTGGCGAGATGTTTTTACTCTCACAGTTTCTTCTCAAAAACAAGAAAAGTATTGAATATTTTGGTTTTTAATACTGTATTGTTGTAATATTGTACTGAACATAATGTACTAATTCTGTAACATTAAAAGATTGTTGTGGCTATGTTTACAGTGTCGATATTGATGAAATAGTCAACCTAAATACATGTATGTCTTTACAACCAACTCAATCTTCTAATGAGCCATGTATGTTGGAACTAAAGTTACCAAACCATCAAAAAATATCTCATATTGCCATGGTTTCAGAGGGCTATGTTCTAGAATTTTTCAAGCTATGCGGAGAGTACCAAACAACAGTATTTGCAGACCTTTTAGATGAGTTTGAAGATAACTCTGTTTATTTTGCAGAAACAAAATTTAGTCCACCTACTTCTGAAGCTAGTATAAAGGTATAAAAATTCTTTGCAATGAAATCTAAAGGTTTCTGTGAACAAATTAATTAATTTAAAATGTTTTAGTTCACAAAAACAAAGAGTAAAGATTCAGTTATGTGGATATATGGTATAATGCTCTATATAACAGAATCTACTGCTGAATCCAAAACTTTGTTTCCACCCATTTTTAATCCTGAAATCATAAAACAATTCCTAAGTGAACTACCTTTCTTGGATGAAGATAATGCTCCAGTTGGTATACAATCATGTTACAAGAATATCTTCAATTCATCAATAGACACAAATGTAAAAGATAATCATGAAAAAGAAATGGGACAATATAAGAAACAGCATACGGAA